GGGGGGGGGGGGGGGGGGGCAGCAACCTGTCCCATCCAGAAAGAGTTGCTAAGATTGAGAAACACTGGTGTAAATTAATATTAGCTATCCTGTATTTCCTTTTCTTTTTTCTCATCTCATCCCTTTCATGACTTGGACTTATTTTTCTTGCACGGTTCTCCCTTTCTCTGTTTACATAATGTGTTTCCCCCAAAGGGAATAGAGCGATGGGAATCTATGTATCTATGGAAACATTTGCAATAGGACCGTTTGAAAATCAGAAAACAGTTCAGCCGTAGGTATTTCATTGTTATTATCTGTCTTGCGGTTTTAATTATTGCATTTATTACAAACTGCCTGGTTTTGTGTCATTGGGGCATAGAAATTCTGTAAAACACACACTTTTCAGTGAAGCTCTCACGCGTTTAATTATGTTGCAAATGTTATAGGTCTATATAAGGTCTATTTATATTGCACCCCTAATAGATAAATTCCCAAGGAGACCAGACAGATTTTATCTGAACGATCTTCTCCAGAATTTACAACCTGCTATTACCTGTGTCATTGTAATGAATATAAAGCAAAGATGGCTAAAGAAGTAATTGGTTTAAGAAGTTCATTTTTACTTTTATTTTTTATTTTTTATTCTTATTTTTACTTTTAATATCACTTTTGGATCAATATGTCTTAATTAATAAGCTGCTAGGGGTATATTTTCATAGTTTATAGTTTTTAAATGTGTTATTACTTGGGTAATTAATGTATTAATATGGTTACAGAGGAGTGAATGTAATATTATTATGTGATCTGTCTTTTAGTACATTATTTTATCAATGTTTTACTCCGTCATTGTTCTCTTAAATTTGCTGGTCGTTGACGGAATAAAGTCATGTTCTTTTGGTGAGGCTCTGAATCTCTCTAGCCCCGTCTTGGTTCCTCTGACCAACGGCAGATTGCTGGATCTCAGCCTGCCAGAAAAAAGGAAAGTTTCTGTGTGCGCGCACATGTGTGTATGTGTGTGTGAGAGAGATTTCCCTTCCTATCTACTTGCTTTGTTTAACATCAGATGGGAGGGACTGAACCTGGTGGAAATACCCCTCCTTTACTCTCCAGCAAGATGCTCTGGATTGGGAGGATCAGAAAACACTCGAGTTGGATTTTACTCATTAATTTAATAATTTGATATGGCTGTCCATCTCATATACGTGACTCTGGATGACTAACAATTACGGTAAAAACGAAAGAAAAACAGAGGAAAAGCAACCAAAATTAAAAAAACAAAACAACATAAACAGCATCAAATAACTGGGAGCGAGCACTGAAGAGGTTACCTAGTTGGGTAATGAAACGTCTGCAGGAAAACAACCGAGCTCAGAGGACCCCAAGGACTCCACAGCATAAAATTATGTTGGCTATTAACTAATTTCTATGTTTGTTGGGACGGCGAGCAGAAAACAAGGCCACAATTTCTTAGCCAGTTCTTAGCTGTCAACGTTCAGTTGGACAAGAATGGCCTAACCCAGTGTTTCTCGACCTTGGGAACCTGAAGATGGGTGGACTTCAACTCCCAGAATTCCCCAGCCAGTGCTG